GAAACTAAAGCTCGGAGTCCTCTGCACGCTGTCATGGCACATTAATGTTAAATCACCTTTTTAAGGATGTGGCTCATTTATCCCAGCGTCTGACTTTTGTTGACACTTTTCTTCCCCCTTTCAGCCGTGTGCCGACCCGACTGCAGGAACCAGGGGAAGTGTGTGAGACCTAATGTGTGCGAATGTCCTGTGGGCTACAGTGGGCCCACCTGTGAGGAAGGTAACCTGACCTCCTTTTCACAACTGTCACAACATGCTGACACACTCGCACTGTGCTCACAGAATACTGATAGTATAGTGCTGACAGAGTATGCTTGTGTTGTTTACAACCCCGTGTCTCTCTGTGTGTAGCGAGCTGCGAGCCGCCTTGTCAACATGGAGGAACGTGTCTGGCTAGAAACCTGTGTACCTGCCCCTACGGCTACGTGGGACCCAGATGTGAAATCAGTGAGATGTTACTTTACTTTGACCGCGTGAAACAGTTTGTGACCGTGATGCATTTCTTCGTTGTTTTAATTTGAGCACAATAGTGAGATTCAATAATGACTGTGACAATAAAGTGCTGACTTTAAAGGAATAGTTTGATATTTTGGCAAATACGCTGATTCACTTTTTTTGGCTGAGAGTTAGAGGAGGACAGCGATACTAATGTTGTGTCTGTACGATAAAATATGAAGCTACAGCCACTCACTACATGAAAGTAGAATCAATCTTCTCATCTTCTTCTTGCCAATAAAGTCAATAAGCATCAGGACTTTTTGAACTCACATACTCACTTATAGGCTGCGCTGTAAGTGTCAGTGCTCACTGCTGTACGCCTTCAGAGATGTAATTTTCCTTTGGATTTCAATGTTAATGACTTTCTATATATGGCATTCAGTTAGAAGTGTTAGTAATTATGTGTCTTCTTCAGTGGTGTGTAACAGACACTGTGAAAACGGAGGCGAATGTGTTTCTCCTGACGTCTGCAAATGTAAACCCGGCTGGTACGGACCAACGTGTAACTCAGGTACATCAAATTTTATTCTTCCATCACCTGAGACAGCAAAAAATACAACATACTACTATAATCAAACATACTGTAGATTCAAAAGCTTCAAATTCAAATATTAAAATCTGTATTCAACCTAAATGTGGCTGTTTGTGTCTTCCACAGCTCTCTGTAACCCCGTCTGTCTGAATGGAGGAACCTGCATAAAGCCCAACATCTGTGCCTGTCCCAGTGGCTTCTACGGCTCTCAGTGTCAAATCGGTAAGACTGTGATTGATACACACTTCAGCTACTAGGTGATCAGTCACAGTACAGGAACAGTCAGGGTTAAAGAGATATATACTGGCTCATACTGATGTTATCAGTCTGCCCTTTCTGCTGCATAAAAAAACAGGAAATCCTGTATTGCAGTTTTATTTATTTATTTATTGCAGTCCATCTTTCTCTGTTTAATTAGTTATCCATTTAAGGGCTTAATGTTTTAAATGTGGGTCACCAAACTGCAAAACAAAGAATACCTCATGAGTCTGGCTATCAATTAAGACTTTTATGGAGAGTGACCGATACCTTTTTAAAGGATGTGACAATAGGTTGCAGTGCTGAGGGTTTATTTTCACTAATAATAAGGTGATTATTCATTGATCCTTGCAGGCAAAGAGGTCAGAGTTCAGGGTGGGGTACACATAGGGGCATTCTTTCTCTCTAATACACCAGTTTACTGTGTAGGAGAGCACAGCTGAGAGATGTGACTCTTCCTCACCTTTTTTATACATATGTAATTATGGAGGTTATGTCAATATTTCTTTCAATAGTCTGACGTATATGTGTGCGCAGTGCATCCTGATATCTTTACAGTTTAATTGTGTTGTGTTGTTCAGCTGTCTGCAGTCCTCCCTGTAAGAATGGAGGTCAGTGTATGAGGAACAACGTATGCTCCTGCCCTGAAGGCTACACAGGAAAACGGTGTCAAAAGAGTAAGTAAAATCACCGACTGCATATTTAAACTCAGAGTTATGTAGCCGCTGGCAGCTTACAATTTTAAACTATGTTAATATGCTAATAAACTGTTCCAGGTGTGTGTGAGCCAATCTGCATGAACAAAGGCAAGTGTGTGGGACCCAACACATGCTCCTGTGCGTCAGGTTGGAGAGGGAAGAGGTGTAACATACGTGAGTGACTCCGTGTTTTTACTCATACACACCAAATTCATCACAGGTAATAGAAAGATCCTGCAGTGGTATCTGCATATAGCCAGTATGCTATTTAAATCTGCATTTATTCCCTTTATTAGGGTTAGGGTTAGGTTAGGAAGGTCAGAGGTCACTTAACAATCACAAAATAGGGCTGCAACCGAGAGAACAATCCCATTATTCACAAGGTCCTCTTTAATCCACTTAAACCACAGGAAGTAGAGACTCACAACAAACATCAAAGAACAAATATAGTTTTACCTTATTTGCAACTATTGTCATAATATACTCATATTTATCTTAATATCAATACATTTTCTCCCCTTTGTATATCAAAATCACATTACCTTTGGATTTAGGCAAAACCAGGAAAACTGCTTTCCAATGAAACCTCCTGTTTCTTCCTTCCTTCCTTCGCAACTAACGATCATTTTCACTGTCAATTAATCGATTTGTCTATAAAAAGTCCGAAAATAGAGAAAAATGTCTCACAGCTTACGGAGATGTATTCAGTTTATCCCATTCAACCATTTACGATTCATTTTCTAATCGACTATTTGTGACACATCTAATAATAAGACCCTAACCCCAACTAAACTATCTTTTAGTACAGCATTTAAGTGGTAAGCTCAGCTCAGAGTGGGTCACGTTCAATGTGGGAGGAATCGCTGCCTGGGAGGCTCGATTCGGGGCCTAATTATTCTGTTGGCCGACTGCAAAACCTGTCTGAATGTAAATTTATGTACAAAACACCAAACTTTTTCTCCCACACAGCGGCTGGTGAGAGCCGTGCTGTGTATCAGTGTAGATATTTTTACTGCTGTCATCCCAAGTAGCCAGTATGAAGACAAAATGTGGATCCCCTCTGCAGCTCATTGTTTCTGTGAAATGAAGCACTGCTGCCACCTAAAATGTCAAGTCAAATTTTATTATATATATACAGTAGTTTTTTCACACGATTCTGCACTTTTTTCAGTTTTCTTGCTGTAATATTTGTTAAACTTGGTTTTCATACACGTCTTTGTTACTGCATTCGTGACCTGCATGCAGTGTGGCAGTTTTTCTGGCTGCAAGCTGCTGCAGACGTGTGTGTTCATGCCTCCCTCTCTCTGTTTTCTCACTGCAGCTGTCTGTCTGCAAAAGTGTAAAAATGGCGGCGAGTGTTTGGGACCAAACACCTGCCAGTGTCCCACCGGCTGGGAAGGTCTCCAGTGTCAAACACGTGAGTTCATTCATGATAAAACTGCACTAATATAGACCCAAGGACGTACAGTACAGTAGTACAGTTTGTTGTCTGAATAAAAAGATATATTGTATCAGGCTTTATTGTTATGATTCGTTTTCTAATCACGTATCCAAGAGTGTTTTAATGTTGCTGTAATATTGATTCTGTCCACAGCCGTCTGTAAACAGCGGTGCCTGAACGGAGGGAGGTGTGTCCTTCCTGACTACTGCCACTGTCGGAAAGGTTACAAGGGCCTCACCTGCGCAATAAAGGTCAGCACTGATCACACTTCATATACAGTTCACGTCCCTGTGTATCTCTGTGGTAAAAGTACTGAGCGGCACTAAAAAACTCAAAAAAGGTCAGATCCCCTCTTGGCCTCTTTTGTTATGTGTTAGCATTCGAGTCACAGAGCTAAGCATCCTTTTTTCTTAAATATAAAGACCTGGTCACAGCTTGGAGTCAGATTTGTTCTGATCCCGATGGTTAATAAAGTCTTCGAAATACCTTCAGATCAGCAGTAAGTGATGTTAATTAATTAATCTTTCATCTTTCAGAGGAAAAGATTAGCTCTGTGACTCTAACGTAATAAAAGGCTAAGACTCTCCATGCCTCAAAGATGCACTCGTGATACTGTGATATACAGTAATTAGAATTAAAAGGCATCCAGCACCTCGGATATATCGGAAAACATAGTCTAACTTTAACCAATTTATATCTCCTCCTTTTTACAGGCAACACAAGCATGATGGAAGAGAAATGAGAAATGGGATGAAAGAAGCTACGAAATGTAAAAAAAAAAAGCAATAGGAGTGCACCAGAGATTGTGTGTGTGTGTGTGTGTGTGTGTGTGTGTGTGTGTGTGTGTGTGTTGGGTTTTGTGTGTGTGTGTGTGTGTGTGTGTGTGGCTCTGTGCACATTTTGAAGGCTAACAGAGGGACTTGATGTATTGCACTTGTCTTTTTCGTCCCTGTATATCACTACCTCAAGGCTCAAAGCGACACACATCTGTTGAATGCATCGGCACCGCTTACAGAGACTTTATACGGAGATGTGAGTGTTGCTGCAGAGTGTTATGTAAAATAAATGACAAATGAATCAGTTTCTATGATGATTCATTCATTCATTCATTCATTCTTTCATTCATTCATTCATAAGCTGCAGGTTATTACAAGCAAGCTTTTAGTTTTAGGGTTAATTTAGCTGAATTATATCCTTTTACCAAACTGATGTGCACTGTTTTGTGTCTTAGCTATGAGGAAATTAAAAGCGAGTATGCTTTGTTAATGATGCCTAATGTAGATGGTTCACATCAGTAACTTGTTTTAGACTGAAGACATTCATATGAAAATGTTGCCATTTAACAAAAATTGCATTTGTTTATTTTTCATTAATATATTGTTTGATTTGGACCTGTTTTTAAATTATGGGCTGTTATCCATTTACACTGATATTTAACATGTGTATTAGAGTAATGACCACCTGTTGGAGTTTTCTAAAAACATCTGTGGTACAAGTTACATGTGACAGAAATAAATAAAAATGTAATATTTCTACGCTTTTTGTTTTGTTTTAAATGAGCTTTCATGATACATGCAGTTCACTCTTTTATTCATTTAGTGACACCAAATACAGTACAGTACATAGCATGTTCATACAGTCAAACATTAAACAGGTTCAATGTTTCTTAAAAAGAATTACATATATAATAAAAAAGTTTCAGCTAAAACAAAGTATCCTCAATAGCATAAAGTCCCTTATTGGGCCTCATTGACCTTTGACCCAGGCAGGGTCACACTAGTGGGACTTTTTCCTCTCCTCGCACTGAGGGCCGGAGAAAGGGGGGCGACAGCGGCATTTGTCTGGAGAAATACACTTCCCTCCATTCAGGCAGGGCTTACTGCACACAGCTAACAGCCGAGAGACAAAAGACAAGAACAAATGTGTTTAATCATGTGTAAAAACAATAAAATAAATAAACCTGAGAAACAAGTAAATGAATGTGATTGTAAATCCTAACGCCACTAAAAGTGCTTCCATGTCTGGGTTGTGTCACATCTGGAAAAACACTGAGCCGAAAACATTAGCGGACACATCCACGCGATTTATTTCATCCTCGGCTGTTACAGGGATCCAGGGAATTCACAACAACCATAAGAGAACAACGTCTGAATGAACAAGAGAGGAAGGAAAGAGACAAAAGAACTTGTAAAAGGCCTCGATGCGTGTGAAAGAGTTTGGTCTTTGGGACCAGTTTGAACTCACCGGTATGGCAGGCACCACCCAGCCATCCCTCCGGACAGCTGCAGATTCCTGGAGCCACGCAGATTCCCCCGTTCCTGCAGCCTTGAGGACAGATTGCTGCACAAAACAAACCGTAGAAAGACATTCTCAGCAGATCTTTAGCTGCACATTTGCTGTGCTGCTCTAGAGGCAGAAACAACGACATCTGGATGAGTTAAAGGGATAGTTGACATTTTGGGAAATATGTTTGGTGAGAGGATCAATACCCCGTTTATATGTGCACGCTACATATGAGGTTACAGCTAGATTGGCTTAACTCAGAAACATAAATCCACCTACCAGCACCTAAAGATCATAACTAATTAACATGTTTGTTTGTTTAATCTGTACAGAAACAGAAGTATAAAGACGATAAGTTGTGGTTTGACAAGGCGTTAAATGTTTGGACCATTTTTTGTCCAGGTTAGATGTTTCACCTCGTTTTCAGCTTTTATGCTAAGCTAACCTTTATGGCTTTATATCTAATTTAAACAAACAAGATATAACGTGTTAATTGGAGTTTCCTGTAAATTGTTGTGTGTGTGTATCGGTGGATATCGGCTTGGGTTTGAATGTGCGGCTCTGTGCACATTGGAAGGCTAACAGAGGGTTAATGTACTGCATTCGTTTTGTATATCACTACCTAAAGACACATCTGGTAAATGCATCTGTGCTTCCAGAGACTTTAAACAGATGTGAGTGTTGCTGCACAGCATTATGTTTAAATTCTTTATGATAAGCTAAGCGGCTGCCAGCTGTAGGTACACAGTTAGTGTACAGACATGAGTGTTAACGAGCTTTTTAATTTAACTCTGGACAAGTAAAATGTCCAATTATTCTTTAAAATCTTAGTTGGTGAAAAGTAACGACGTGATCTTGGGTGGTAAATAAAGCCAGACTGCTCATCAACAATAGTGTGGATACGTTGAATTTAGAAGATCAGAACATCTAACATCTTTATCTCAACCAATCGCAACCACCAAGTTAGATGAATTCATCATGACAACGACTTGGAAAGCTGGAGAAGCATTTTAAATGTTTCATTAAGTTGCTGTTGATGAATAGCTCCGGCCGACAGACCGGCTCCATTTGGTGGCTTTGACCTGGGGTGTTAAAGGGGTAATTAGATGCGGCTGTAAACAGACCCTCTTGGCATTTTGAGCCGGTCCAGCTTGAGGGGCAGATGCACTTGGCCACTCCGTTGACAGCGATGCAATCTCCTCCGTTCCAACATCCGCCGTCACACGTCACTGCCAAAAGACAAGACGCAGATCACGCCCATCAGCAGGGATACATTTACCTTTCCTCAAGTGTTTTCAGCTGATTTTAGAAATATATATATATATATATATAAAACTTGGTCATGAGTCCTAATTCTCCCCCTGTAAAATGCTTCCCAACCTTTTGGCCTCCCTGACCCTCCCTCACATATGTCTACCAGCAGTTTCTATGTTTGAATTTCATTTTTAGAAGCTTGATGAGATAAAAGTATCCAGTAATTCTCTACAAAAAAGTGGAGGATTCATAAAAATGTGCAATAAAATAAACAATATTTGTATTTTTTTTCTTTTTTTCTGGTCCCTGTGAATTGTCTTGCGACCTCTTGTGGACGCCGGACCGCCAGTTTAAGAAACAGTGGTCTAAATGCTGGTGGACAAACACTTTTATAGATATTTACTCTTTATATAATATCACATAAACCTTACTGAGGACATGACCTCAGTTTCCTCACCCCTCACGGCAGCCCTCATACTGACGATCTAACTTTTAGGGCTCATTTACAACAGCAGCACATTGAGGTTGAGCCACTGGACACATTTTTACTGCGCGCATACTAAACTACAGCTGCAAATGTAGCTGCTCTACTTTCCGACTGGTGGTTAAAAGGAATCTGGTGCCTGTCTGGTAGCAAGAGGGACAGCTGTGTGTTGGAATGTGTGGATACAGTTGTACTGTAGCACATGAAAGAAAGAAAACACCGGATATACACACACAGTTACTACAGGATGGATTCAGAATAGATGCATAAAGACTGGTTTCTTTCTCTGGAATCGAACCTGCTTACCTTTGTGACAATATCGTCCTCCGTATCCTGGACGGCATCTGCATTTTCCAGGGCGAAGACACGCTCCTCCGTTCTTACATTTGGGGTAACAGTTGGCTGCATTCACACACAAGATTTTGACATTACTAGTTAGCAATCTGGTTGTTTTAAGAGTATTAATCTTGGATATTGTAACAATTAGAAGCAAAACAAGTCATTTTTATGTCATTTTATGTCTTAAAATAAACATGTTTGACCCCTTCAGAGTAGGGCTTTGCATTAAACTGATGTATGTTACATTAAAGCTGCATTAAAGGGAAAAGCAAGCATTTATTTTTGTTTATGTGGTTGTTTGTCTTACAGGTAAAGGCATTTAAGTGCAAATCTCTTTAACCCTCATCCTACTTTTTGTCTCACAGCTGCCCCTGACTTTGTTAATCAATGTGTTCCTCCTGTCTACATATCATCGTTTGTTACTGTTTTATTTAGTGCTTTTTATAAGTGTTGATGTCCTGTTGGACCCCAGTCAGAAGCACATAATTCTGCCTATATGCAGTTTTAATATATGGGACTATTTATTGAGTTAATTTGAGCCATTGATCATAATTTAAAGTATTACACAGTACAGTGTGGCACTCATTGTGAAGCAGACACAGATTTCCTCATAAAAACAAAAGAAACATAACTAACTTTCCTAAAATGATAATAATCTGTTGTTTCTTACAGTAGTTCAATCCAGTTAAATATGTTAATAGGATGAGCGTTAAGCATTGGTTCTTCTGCAGGAGGAGAAATGTCAATTAAACTGAGCGAATATTCTTCTGACAGCAAAATAAAACTATACAACTAAACACATCTTTAAACGCATTTAAAATGAAATTTAAATTTAAAAAACTTGTGTAACATCACCATACTGGCAGGTCTCTCCCTCGTAGCCCCTGGAGCAGAAGCATGTGTTGTTGCGGATGCAGACTCCTCCGTGTTCGCACGGCGGGTCGCACTTCGCTTTGGGGTCGAAAACGAACCCGACCGCGACTCCCCGAGGCGCGTCCGAGCGCGCCGAGCAGACCCCGACCAGAGCCAGCAACGAGGCCAGCAGCACCGGGGAACCGAGACCCGCGACCACCATGTTCGGTTGCTGTTCTGTCTCTCAACAGGAGGAGAGGAAGGAAGGGACAGACGGACGGTGGACGGAGATGGAGGAGAAAGTGCCCAACCAGCACCGAGACCTCTCCACGTCGCCCCCGCTGTGGCGCACAGGGAAACTACAACCGGGAGGGGGGAGCAGGAGGGGCGGGGAGAGTGTCTGTGCTGGGGGGGGCTGATTCAGACTGTGGTAAGTTTTTAAAAGTGTCCAAAGATACATAAACATTAGTTTGAGCCATTTGTACATGAAACACTACACAGGTGTTAACAGAGACACTAACTGAGGCTCCGTTCCGTTTAGTGTAGCCTTAATCATTAGTCTCATTAGTAACACCTGAGGTCAACTGTCTGATGGCTGCTGGAAGAGAAGGAAGAACTCTTCTCGGAGCATAAAGGTAACATTGACTTTAGTATTTAACTCATTTCATAATAATAAAAGCTTCTCTTTATACATCCATTCAAACTAATTCTAACAGTTACACACACATTAATCATAAACTGCTAACTGGCACATTCCTGCAAACTGTATTGCTCTTCATAAATGTATTTAAGTAAGGCATTTAATGTACACATTGTCTCTTTTTTATATATTTGTGGATATTTTCTCCTTTATTTTCTCTATTTTTATCTTTATTCATATTTTTCTGTGTTTATTGTTATGCATCAGTTTATAAAGGCAAATTCCTTTCTTGTCAGAATCAGAATCTGGGTATAGAATAAGGAATTTGACTTGGTAAGTTGGTGCAAAACAATTAAACATAGAATAATATAATTGATAATAAAAAAAAAGAGACAATAAAAAGAATAAAACTGTAGAGCTGTACGGGGGAGTGCAGGGGAATCTGGAAGTTAGCAGTGAGACATTTAATGATATGTGCAACATGGAAAGATAAAATCAGAGTAAAGTGCATTAATGTTGCAAAGAATAATAAACCCGATAGACAAACAACAAACCAACATCAGTGTTCTGGTCAAATTGGGTTACGTTTGTATGATGTATGATGTTTATGAAAAACATAGTGGCTGTCCCTCCACTTGGTTTTGTTGTGGTTTCTTACTGTTTACTGACTTTAAACACTTTAAACACACTTCCAGTAGTAGCTGGTGGCTTTTTTAGAAATAAAGTTCCTAAGAGAATCTGAAAAGTAACCAAGTTGGCAACACTGAACGAATGTCATGTTTAACTTAACAAAAGGAAATAAATTGACAATAAAAAGCTCAAAAGAAGGACATGTAACATATTTTCTACTGTTTATTGCTGGGGACAGATGGGAACTTTTAGGTACCCAAAGAATGGGTAGTTACGCCCTATGTTGTTGTGTCTCGTGTACATTGGGATGGGACTCAAACGTTGTTTTATTGGGTCTGTTTACCCAAATTTCTAAAACAAACAAGACACATTTTTACACTGATTTATAATCGATTTCTGTTCTCTTTTAAATACAACAGGTGAAACATTAAACAGTAACAATGCCCAGTTTCCTCCACAGACAAAACCATAAAAACGATCGATGTCCTGTTGATTATCCAGAGAAACAAAGACACATTGCTACATTACCTTTAAATATAATTTATTAACTAAACTGAATTCACTGCTCGTGTACTGGAACGATGGCAGAAATCTCCAAAGATCAACCAAAACTGGTTGATCAGACACTCGATTAGGCTCTGAGCCTGTTCCCTTCAAACCATTGAGCTCATCAAGAGTCGTGATGTTCTTCAGCTCCAGCAGACATACTGTAGTGAGTCCACAGCCGGTGGAGCGTTAACAGGCAGAAGAAAGCCTCAGCGTGGAGCCAACTTATTACTCTCAGAAAGCAGGACCCTGTTTTAGGATAAGTTCATGTTGAACACACGTGGAAAAGCCATTTCCTTTTACCTGGTGAGAGGAAGGGTGCTGGGTCTATATGAGCTATGGGCTGAGTGGAAGGTCTGCTGTGATTGCAATAACACAACCAAATCACACGTGGCTGTGGCCTCCACAGTGAAACCAGCTTTTTCCATCATTTATTTCTGCCCAAAAAATGTAAATTTTGCTATTTTTCCACTGATACAGTAGCCTTCAACTCTATGCGTGTTCTCAAAGATCTTTTTAATAATGTAGCGCCCCTTTGAAATATATTTTTCAACCATGTGCCCCCAGAAAAAGAGATTGAATACAGCACAACCTTGTAACAACACTTAAATTCTACATTTCGATTGTTGAGAATCCATTAAACTGATTCAAACCAGAGCCAGAGCAGTCTCAGTCTAACACTGAGATGCCATTGAAGGTGCATTGCACTGTGTTTTCTCTTATTATAAGTAAACCAGCGACAGACAGAAATGTTTGTGCGTTAGATTAAAAGTTCTGTATGCTGACGGCCAGTTTGCAAAGTAGTCAGACGGACCATCCTGTAACTTTAAAGTCATCAGTTATCACTAAGCAGCTACAAAATCAGACCATTTGTGACTGATTCAGGATCAGTGTTGGGCTTGTTACTAAAAAAAAAAGTAATTTATCACTTATTAGTCTTTTCAAATGTAGTATTACTTTACTCCTTACTCACTGCCAAAAGTAATTAGTTACACTACTTGTTGTATTAATTTTCCCAAAAAATTGCAGATCGAAATCCAGTTTTGTTTGTTAAAATCAAAGTAATATTTCTATCTTCCAAACTAGTTTCCTCTACGATAACAAAAAATATTTTTTGGAGTGTTAACTGTAATATTATTACTGAAAAGTATTACTATTACACCACTAGTTACTGGGTAAAGTAATATTATTACTAGTAATGAGTTACTGACCAACACATATTAGGGACTAGTTTGTTAAACATTTCTGAGTCTGGTATCAGTTTAAATCAAACAGTGAACTTTAGACTGGGGAGTGAAGCTGTAGCTTATTTACACAGTGATAACATATAACAGATAACAGATACATTTACTTGACCGTGTTATTATTAGCAATGGTGAAGCGTAATCTCCAAGTTTGTAGTGGAACACAAAGCATCAGTGTAAGTGATGAAGAAAATGACAGAGGTGATAGTAAAGCCTGCCAGATAGGATTATACACACACACACACACACAACACACACACACACACACACACATATATATATATATATGACAAAAGCTGGAACTTATTAAGACTAATACTGAAATATTAGAGTAAAATGAATGTATTAATGAGTTCAGCTGACAGTTTCTATACAATAAACAAACATGTTGGGGCAATGATCTCTTAAACTGGGTAAGACCTGTACTGAGGCATAATATTTATTTTGTAGTTGAACATTAAATATATTAAATATGTAGGATTACTGTAACAATTATTAAGCAAAAATATCAAAATATCCAGACTTAATATTCCTAACAGTTGCACTACTTTCTGCATTATCTGCTGCAAACACACACACCATTACACCCTTGATAAGACATTGTTCGCCCACTGATTTACTGGCTGGGATCTCAATGAAAAATGTATTTTGCAAAGAAAATGAATATACTGTCAGCTTATAGTCTAAGCTTAGACAAAGGGAAAACTGATAGTGCTTACTGTGTGTGTGTGTGTGTGTGTGTGTGTGTGTTTAGTGAAGCTCTGGTCCAAACCACTGACCTGGATCTCAGAGAGGAAGTGAAGTGGTGTTTAAATGAGTGCAACAGATGTGAACATACCGCGATACACTGGAGACATCCTGTGCTTCCACTGTAGCTCCAGGGAGGAGAGTCTGTAACACACTGACATACAGTCTATTGAAACAAGAGCACAAATATAAAGTTATAATCTGCATATTATTAACATGTAAAATAATAAATAAAGTAAATATCAAACAGATAAAGCTTTATTTAGGAGGTATTTGTTTCTTTGTGGGTGCTTAATGTACCCTACATAGGCCTCAGGTAACGGTGGACCCTCTAGTGGTTGTTGTTGGGCTCTCAGTCTGGTCCAGAGCCGCCCATCTGGACAGTAACTGGCCATGTTGTCATGTTCTACCCACCTACCTTTTGTCTTTTAAACTTCCCCTTCAAGATGAAAATTCCTGCATAATAAAGGTCAGAATTTAATGACCAGATTGCCGTGAATCATCAGATCATATTTATCCGATTTCTTCAACTGGATTTTTGTTTTCTGGCATTTATGACGTTACACGCTCAGACACACAGATTTCTACTGAACAGAACAGAAAGATTGTCAGTAGGGTTGTTTGTTTGTTGGCCTACTACTGTACATACTAGGTGGTGTCACTACTACTACTGGCCTCCCTATCATAATTCTGAATACATTTAGCTGTGGATGACAATAGATTGAAGACAATAATAGAGCAAACAATCAGTCGATTAATAGACAGAAGACTAATCTGCAACTACTTTGATAAAAATTCACTGGTTTGGACACAAATGTGAAAATATGATGTTCGTCGGACAAAATAAGACATTTGAAGATGTTTATTTTGGGTCTGGGAAACTGTAATAGACCTTTTTTGGGGCTGTTTCCTTACATCATAGATTAATGTTTTAATGATTCAACATTTAACTCAGAAAATAATCAGGAGTTTAATTGATAATGAAGTTACAGTGAACACATGCAAATGTTAGAATTGGTTACCCACCCTAATTAATCAACCAGTGGTTATCAAACAGTGGGGCAGACAACGGTGGGGCATAGAGCCACTGCAGGTGGGGCAAGGATGACAAAAATATGTATTTGAACAAAGCTGAATTAATACGATTTATGCAGAGAAAATAAACAAGTTTGTTGATGCTATCGTGACTTTTATTTTACAAAAATTCAACTCTGACCCTTTTTTTATTATAGTTTTGGTTCCCTTACTGTTGATAATGTTTAGTAAAACTTGTGGGGTGTAAACTTTTCAAAGGAGGGCAGGCCAGAAAAAGTTTGAGAACCATTGTTGTAAACAAAAGTTTAATTAATATAGTTTCTTGTGTGTTTCACTTTTGTACAAATTGTGGGAAACACTCCTGACAAACCTGTCGTGGTGTTCAGACAGAATTCTGCAGGTTGATTTGTGTCTAATATCAGCGCAGTGGTGGTGTGTCACTTTAATAATCTCATAAATAATAAATAATGTAATTAATGGCAGTGAAATGACAGTTTGGGGCTCTTCAGCAGAGGCGAGGTGATACTATAGTTTCAGACCAGTTGACACCACCTAGTGTGTACAGAGAATATAACAAGTGAACACAAGAAATTGAAAATGAGTCATGATTTTATTTTCAGCTACATGCATGAAAAACACAAAAACTGTCGGTAACAGATTCACATCTACACTGTTTTATCATCACGTATCAAGAAGGATTGGATCTGGAGGTTTTCTTATGATATCTGCGTATACATTTTATTAACTGTCAGAAAATAATAAATGTATATTAGTATTTAATCTGACCTGTGGAATCACAAAATAAACCATAATTCAAATAATTCACATTTCGGGTATTTCTGCGTTATGTGAAGTCCTTCGGTACATTACATGATCTGTCTGTAGTATGAATATTCACTTAATAATCAATCCAATCCAAAATGATACCATGATGTAACAAAGGAAGTCATAAAAATGTTAAAAATTATAAACTCAAGGAATAGCAGTCAGCTCATGAGACAAGTTACAGAGCAGCAGAGGGGATTAAAATAGCAAACACATTATTGTGAATGACACCGCAGCCCACAAAAATAGGACAACCGCAAAAAAAAGGAAGGAAAGTTGCTCCCACACCAGCAGTTATTCTTGATATAACAAGTACTGAAGCAAGCCAAGAAGGACATATTTTACATTTACACATTCCTGTATTTTTAAAGCCCACTGTAAAGCTCCCAAATTTTTACTATGAAATTAAAAATATCCCTTTTTTTTTTTACAAAGCTGTTTTTGTAACTAACTTGTATCATGTACGAGTCTTCACAGTAGTCACATGTGCTTTTAAATCACTTAGATGAATAAGCTGAAATTAAAGACCTAAAGAACAAACAAAAAAACAAACAAATGACATAAGATAATACGTCGTCTATATTGCACGATACAATATCAAGAATCATGTTTTTATGAAACAGAAAGAGAGAGACTGGCTGTAGGAAGGAATGAAAAAGAGGGCGTAAGGAAGTGGTGAGGAACAGCTCAGTGGTTTTTTTATTGTGTCAGAAAACTCTTCTTGTCCCTTCAGTTGCTGTATTTGTCGTTAACGATGGTATGGAGCAGTCGGGGCGGGCAGCCGTTGCACTTATACAACATTATTATCAATATCTGTAGATAATGATCAGGGTAAAGTGCTTTATAACTGAAACTACTGCTTCCAGTAATTTAATTGTTGAGGAGTGACTGTGTAAACGTGATGGGAATGCCTACTAATAAATGTGAATATGAAATTATATCCATCTATTCTGTTGGCACCAGGGTGAGAAATGACTACAGAGCTCAAACAACCACAATAGCTCTTCTAAACGTCACACTTGGAGAAAAGGAAAACAAAGAAGTGGTTGGGACTTTTTAGAAATGGATGAGCCATGTGACTAATTTAAGAAAAGTTATGTCCTCGTCCGTTATTCCGTTATCGCTGAGATTTCCTACTTGGAAGTCACAGCAGTATGTGACGCCTGGGCTCTTGTGCTTGCCTTATTGGTAGACCTGAACGTGCCCATGCAAGGAGGTGGTGTTCCCCCCACAGTCCACATACTGGTACATCTCCTGGGAGACCTGCTCCGCGTGGCCGAAGTACGACGTCGTCACCGTCACCCTGGAAAAATAACCACAGAGTCATCTACTGTACGTCAGACAACAAGGTGAGTCAGCTCTAAATCCTGCACTGGTGTGGAAAATGTGGGTGATTCAGCAGATTATAAATATTGATCTAACTTCTTGGTTGACTTGAATCTAAATGAGAAGATCCAAAGAACCACAGATGGCGACTGTGAATAAATATCTAAAAGAGTTAATAGTTATTTAATAGGAATTCATGACCAGAACATTCATCATCTTGAAACATCAGCAGGTTTTTGGTTTAAAAGCTGCACAATTAATCAAAATATGATCAAATATGAAAACGGCAGTAGCTGTAATTCTTTGATAAAGGTAAAATGTGAGTCAGACAGCATTATAATGAAGGACTGTAGTGCTGCAGAGATTCCCTCGGCCTTTTCAGATGTAAGGAAACATGTTTGTTTGCTACGGACCCGAAAAGATTCTACAGATTTCAAATCATCATGATTTTAATCTGTGAAGCAAAAATCATCATTCCCACACTAATTATATTGCAGCCAGAATATCTTTACCTTATTGTTAGTACAGCTAGTTTACCCATAGAATAATCAATAGATATACAGTAAGTGCCCTTCCATAGATTCTTGACCCAATCTGGAAGAAACGCAGTCACTTGCAGTCAGTGGTGGTGAAATGATAAGTAACTCTAAAGATAAATAATTATTTAACTACTAATTGTTAATGCCATTTTTTCAATTCTATTTATGTCATTGTCGTCGTTTTCCGTGTTCCTGATACAGCTGTTTGCCACATTTGGGTGTTTTAGTCTTCTGTTGTTTTTTGGGGGGGCTTTTTCCCTTTTATTAGATAGGACAGCTGAAAACAGACAGGAACCAGTAGAGAGATTGCGGGGGGGGGGACGGGGACCTGTGGCCCCTGCAGCAAGGACCCAGCCCCCGCACATGGATCTACCAGGTGAGCCATCTGGGCGCCCCGTCTGTCTTCTATCGTTAAATGCATCAAACTAACACTCACAAATGTCCCTTGGGGTATTATGTTCTTAGATGTAAAATCACTGAAATGCAAGAAGAGCCTTTATAATATTAGCTGCCTCCATTTTCACTGGGATTCAGTCTGATGTTTCTTGGCTGGAAAGCTGCTGTTTTGGCTTTGACCACAAAAGAATAAGAAGTCATCTAATAAAGATCATTTCTGCCTCGGAGAGATGTTCGGCTATATTTACAGTCTGTTTGAAAGTCAGCATTGACATGTAAATGAGCAAGGCACCCAAAAGGCCTGCGTATCCGCTGTTGGTCTGAGCGGCAGAAGGCCGTGTTGTTTCTGGGCAGCTCGTCAGTATGTGTGGGTGTGGAGAGAGAGAGAGAGAGAGAGAGAGAGAGAGAGAGAGAGACTGCAGGATGTAAATAAATACATTAAAAATACTGAATATTGAGCCACACTTACTGCATCATGACCACTATGTTGTGGACTTTAATGGTTGGCAAGGTGCAGTAGTCACTGTAAGAGAAGAAGGATTTAATGATTTTTAAAATGATAAAAGTGTGAACAGTGAACATTTTTATGACTTCTAGCTAAGATACTTACAACATATAACTCATCTCATCGGCAATGGTGGTGGGGACTGTGTAGTCGATCTGAAATAGACATCGTTTATGAAGCATTTAAGGAGCAAAACAACATTATACACTATATTTATGCTAATTATAACACAATGAATGTATGTTTTTACAGTTTTATCCTCAATCCTGTTTAATCAGTGGCAAGTGGTGTTACAGTCGTAAGTCGTAAGAAGGTCGTAAGATTTGTAATGTCACAAGACTTAAAGACAATGAGGCTTTAATGGTGCTTAAAAGATTTGTTTGAAGTCCGGATCTCTGTGATTTAAGCTGGATGAGGTTTCCTTGGTATCGTGACTGTGGGTGTAACAATGAGCTGTTGTAGTAGGCTGTGGATTTTCAGTATCTACAGTCACTGAATTAACTTTCTTACCAGCCATGAATCTGTAACTATGCAGAGTCATTTGGGTGTACGGTGAAATGTATTTCAACCCACCTGCCGTTCATCCAGCGGTATGATCACCGAGCTGTTGTTGAACTTGGCCTTGCCTATCACCGTCTTGGAGAACTGCACTTGGGCTGTGATGTTGGTCACAGATACGGTGTAGTAGTTATTATTGGTGATGTTCAGAGTGCTCTGGATGGAAGAACATAAAAGGTGTGAGATTCTGGAAATACAGTGTGTGACTTTTAAGGAAATGTACACATTTTTAGCATTTTAAACCTGCAGAAACAGAGTTTTTGGCCACTTGGAGGCAGTGGATACAAGCTGTAAACACACAACACTGACCTATTATCACATTTTAAGTTGATATGGCGAACATGGCGTTAGCAAACGACTGCCTATTTACACATCCAGCAGACATATATCAAGCAGCCCCTGGCTGATTTAAGTCCAGTATTCACTCTGTTTTTAAGTCTATTACCATTTGGTGTTTAACCGGTACTGTACTGAGCTTTTTTGCTGACAATAGCTCTCTGCTGCAGCTGCAAACACTACTGACAAGAGCTGTGAATGAACCAAAACAGAAAGGCTGCGGGCCAGAAAGCGAACACAATGAGCTGAGAGACACTAAAGAGCTAAGTGTATTCATCACTACAATGGACCCCTTTCACATACAAGTGGTCATGTGATCCATTGTTAATAATAAATATTGATTATAGCCGCTTTTAAGTCTTTGTCATAAAAAAAAAAAAAAAAAAGCACAAGCCCAAATGATTAAATTCTTCTCCATGGTAGGTATTAAGTGAGTGGCTACACAATCTTACTGTAATGTTGAGATAGACGATTCGTTTGTCCAGGTCGTAGGAGACGTAGGCAGACTTCACTCCCACGTAGGAGACATCAATAGAGCGAGGGAATAGGAAGAAAACGGCGAGGCCAGACAGCAGCAGGCAAAGTACCACTGATATCGTGACATACAGCTTTCTGCAGGAAAAAAAAAGAGAAGTGAGACCCCCTGAAACCAGCTGATGACTTCAAAGTCTAACATGTTTCTGTGTGTTCACTGAGTTTCATCATGCAGACAGCTAACTCAGTTAATCTTTAAAAAAAAGTGCACTCAATGCAGACTTACGTCCTGCTTGGCCTGAGCCTTTGGTCGCTGTATGGAATCAGAGCCACGAGCTGGTTCTCTTGGCCTGTTTGAATAATTCAAAGAAAAAGGAAATGTCATTTTACTGTTGAGAAAGGAATATGTTGTAAGATTTGTAATGACACTATGGTACAACTCCTGAGGAGAATATCTCAAAGTTGACTTTAGAAATTAGAAGTATACTCAGTTTTATGGATGATTGGTTCATTCTTACCCATCAAAAAAGTATAGTTTTATGCATTGATGAATCAGTTTCTTGGCTGTAACTAGATGGCAATCTTAACCAGATTAGGGGTTTGTTTAACTGGTACAGCAGCAGGAAGAACAGAGAGCTTTAAAACATAGCAACTGTTTCCCATTCTGTTAGGCAAACTGCGAGAATTTAAGAGCATCAATATTTAATGAAAACTTGAAATATTCAGGCGAAGTTAGCAAACAAAATGGCCTATTAATTTAGTCTGTTTTTTTCTTGTATGTTATTATATATTTGCTACATCTCTAGATTTAAAATGTATACCGATTAATGGTTATTTGAATAATCTATAAAGTTTTACCTCGTGGGATTCTGCCGGTGCCCTGACACGTAGGGCACGTGACGCTGTCCCGTCCGGTGAACTCCACGTAGGGGAACTGAGATACGTCGCCATTCTTTCCATCTTCCCCCGTTTGACCGTCTCTGTACTCGCCGTTCGCCGTCAGCGCTTCCTGACTCTCGTCTTTGTGCTTGGCCAAGTGTGACTGAGACTTGCCCATATCTGCAGCTGTCTACAACACACAACACAAACAATAGCATGAGGAGAGAGAGGAACTGCAGCTGTATGTGCTGACTAACCACATGCCACACAACCGCTTGAATGTGAAACTAGACCTGGACGCATTCCAGGAAACATTTCCCCCGGGAGAACAAACTGCTCGACTGCTGCACCGTCCATGATGAAAAGCCTCTTGTAAAACTTAATACACTAAATTATTCTGTAAGACTGTGACCTTCTTAATATTATCACCTGTATTTAATTTCCAACGTGCTCTCTAATATAGAGATTTACAGCTTAATACTTGTGTAGTATCCTTCTAAAATGATCACAGCTTTAATATAATTCTTTTGAAATGATACAGTAAGACTTCTCTAGGGCAGCTGACTAGTCAATTAGGCAACTTCTTGGTCATTAAGGCCTTAACTGATTACAAAACTGATTATCTTTTTATGGGGAATGAGCTGTTGGTCATCAGCGAATACTGTAAAGTATAATAAATATGCTTAATTCTTTAGTAACCACAAGGTTTTAAGAGACCCGTACGTATGCCGATATTCATCTGGGGTATATTAAAAGAAATAAATTGTTTCATTACAATCAACTAATTGCATAGTAAAAATTTGCCTTACACGTTAATGCACCAGTAATAATCAGCCAGTTATATAATAATACGACCCTGACCAGAGCCAGTCATCACTATGAGTACTTTAACTTTTGATACTTTAAGTACTGACTAGTAAGGACAGTATAGTAAGTATTTTACTATGTAGAAACACACTGCAAATACTACAGATAAAAGTCCTCTATTGAAAATGTTATTTTAGTACAAATATCAGCAAAAAGTAAAGTAAAAGTACTCGTACTGCTTAAAAAATTCTCCCTGTGAGTGCTTTACTATATTACTATATATATTTGATTATTATTACTGATGCATTCATGTGTACTTAGCATTTTACTGTCGATGTGTAGCTGATTTAAACTATTTTACATACATTTGAGATGTTTAATATATTTTAGGCACAAAACATAGCATGATTAACTTATAAAACATGATGCATTTGTTGTCATGTTTTATAAATTCATCATGTTTTGTACATAAAAGTCTAGTCTGCAAAATAATAACGTCAGATAAATGCAGTGGGAGTAACTTAGAGGTATAAAGTAACGTTAGCAGCAACTGGAAATACTTGAGTAAGTATACTGAGTTACTTTCCACCATTGTTGTGGAGTAGGTCTAAATGCTGGTGAGAATAGTCACAGCTGACGTTACATAGAGTAAGCATAGCCAACTGAGGGGGTGACAAACACCTTTAACACAATGAGATGCCACAAACAACCCGCAGGCTGTTGCTCAGAGACGTCCTGGATGTCTAATGTGTGTCTAACATACATTATCAACACGGCCCAGGCCGCCATACTGCTGAGCCGTTGTCCCTCAGCCGGGAACACAACGTACCGACCGGAGGAAAACGGTTATAACGCCTTTAATGTCACCGACAAACGCCATATTTGACCTGTACATTGTCAGTTAAACACGAAATAATCATAAATAAAAAAAACTGCGTTCCATGTCGTCATGTAATTCTGACGTTTAATCGCACAAATTAACGGTCGCTCTGTAGAACGCTCCGCACCCGTACGTCATCGGAACCGTCGAACGTTCCACACGCGGTCGGCTAGCTTACATGTTCGGCCGACGTCTTACCTGGTTCTGTGTTTTTATTCGGACGCTCGTGCCATTCGTCGTCGCGTCGTCGCCGTTTGTTGTGGTTCGCGCACACCAGTGAGGAGGGCAGCCGACCGCCACGCCCCCTCCGCCTCCTCATTGGACAGACTCCACGCTAGGTCGCGTGTATCGGTTTCCACCGTGCAGACCGTAAATAAACGCGGGTGGCCGTTTTAATTCACTGTATGTAACGCAACAGCTGCAGCGGCCGTTGGAACGTTACATGTATCTATTATAGAATGTTCTGGGTGAATACTCGATTCTGATTGGCTGCTGGGTGTCCATTAGTACCTGATGTAGGACACCTACTAAGTAGTTCCAACCGTCTGTTTACCGTTCTAAATGAATGCGCTGCAAAGAACTTAAAGTTAAATATCCCATTAATGTGTCTCTACACTACAGTGTAGTCCTTCAGAGGCTGTAACACACAAACCCCTCTGAACTTACTCATACTTTCTTTTTTTGTGACCAATTTTCTACTAACTTTTGGCAAAATGGTATGAACAAACATATTATACATATTTTAGTAGAAGAAAGAAAAGTAGATATTCACGTCATCCATTATTCCTGATAATGGACACCTAAGTCGGGCATTATCACTTACCGACGATATATTTGGCTACCCACCTAACTATAATTACCATAGAAATACCAGTGGTGGACATAAATCAATACAAATACCACAATAAAAGTCCTGCTTTCAAGTAAAAGTTAAAAAGCACTTTGAAACATTAAAAATTATGTACAAATGTAGCCTATCAAAAGTAAAATTACTTTATTTAAGGAGAATTACCTCATTTAGAGTATTATTTAAGTATATAGCAGTGTTATATTACTAGGTTATTACTGATGTATTATCATTTATGTAGCATTTTAATATCATAGCTCATCACAGTGAGGCTAATATAAAAATAATAATATAAAATGTTATACCTTAGTGTTTGAGTAAATACAATTTACTTTACACTGTACATAAAAATGGCTCCTTCTGAGGTAACAAAAACACAATTATTATTATTTTAAGGTGATTATACACCACTGAAAACATACTTATGGATATTATATATAATTTCTGCCAGTAGATCCCCTAAATCTTACACACTGGATCTCTAATACTGTAGATGAACATAGATTTAAAAAGCCATTGTCCGGTAATGTCACTGTAAAATGAATCCTATGACATCTTATGATCCTATTGAGCACAGAAAATATGTATCAGGGGCCTATTGACCTGCTGTAAGGAGTGTTGTACAATCATGTGCCTATATGGTTATTACTGAATATTTTTTCATCAGCATCAATGGTAAAATACATCACTAATAACTTAAATAAACAGAAAACACAGCTTTATTACCAAGATAAGAATATTTACTTTTGTAATCAAATCAAATTTAGATGCTGATCTAAATTCAATGAGTTAACAAATTAAATTATACCTGTAACAAGAGTTTTGATCAGATCATAAACAAGATATTTAGTATACTGTTTGATCAGAGTCCAAAATAAGCCTCATCCTCAGACTAAGAGGCATCCTGTTCCAGTGCTTGGAAAACTTTGTCGCACATACGGTGAACCAGACTGGATGAAGGCAGTTCCTGGAAAATCTTGTCAGCTGACAGAAAATGTCAAAGTTCCCGGCGAGAGCAAATTTCGCCACAACCGTCACCATTGTCTCAGTCTTAATGAGATAGAATTTACCACATTATTCAATTAGGCTACTAAGAACAGAAGTATCTCAGTGGAACCTGCATCCCAAAAGATTGAGAACTAGATGGCGAGAGCACGGACACTGGAAGTCAGTCAGAGTTGGCGTTTTTGTGCTTTAATTTAAATGGCCAGGATCATTTATAACCAATTTAATAGTTATTAACAACAATTTACACAAATCTTTTTTAGTGGATAAAACTGCCATAAATACCAGTGTACACTTAATATAAATAACATAAATCCCTGTACAAAAGGAGTGTTGAGGTTTGATAATGGATTGAAACACCCAGATTATAGTTTCACTCGCATAATATTTACTATGTATGTGTAGTGAACGTTTCATATTGACATTTTTTACTGTTTGAGAACAACAGTGAGTATGTTATTTTATGTTTTATTTATATTTATTATGTGACCAGTGTATCTTTCTCACATTAATCCCTATTTACTGTTTTTAAAGGAACATTAAACATCTTATTGAGGATTATTTGATCAGTTGAACTACACACACTACTAAAAGAGTACTGCAAATGAATAACATCACTCACTAAATGTTGAAAGTTTATTGATTTTACCATAAATGATTTAAAAAAAAGAACCTAAATAAAACTACAGAGGCCTAAAATTAAAGCTCACTTTATATCCAGAATACAGTCTTTCTTTAAAAAACTATTTCCTCAAACAACTTGCAAGATTGCAGCTGGTTCCTGGAAAATGTTTAGATGTACTTTCAACCAGATGATGGCAGTGTGCTGTCACATGTGAATGTATGACTCAGCAGCACTGTGACGGTGAATCCTCTGGTCAACAACAACATGGTCGTTAATGCTTGTGAGCAAACATCAAATTATAGTGATAATAGATTTGATTTAATGTGTTTAAGCTCTCCGATTTCAGAGAAACCACTATGAATAATGCATGACCCCGGCAAGCTGAAGGAAAAGGCTCACTTAGAAAATAGCTAGTGGACATAATAACCTGTAATGCTTTGCACCAATTGTGCTAAAAACTGACCCGGGTCAAGTTAATATTTGCAGATATTAATTGGTACTCATTCTGGGTACCAGGTGGTTATATTTAGTGATTTAGGACAATACAGATTTTCAGTTTTCGTCCACTTTCCTGTGATTGTAACTCAGTGACACTCCTGAGTCATTGTGCAGTGCTCTGTGCAGAACCCATCTGGTAGTCACATTAAAAATGTGCTAAAAATAAATAGCAAATGCTATTTGACACAGGTTGGCTTTAACAATGACCTACTTGGCGTTGTCAACGAGTTTGTCCTAATGCCAGTGCTAAATGACAGAAATCAGCATCAACAGTGGCTCTGAATATCCCCTTAAATACGGATTTGCTTCTTTAGAGAAAATATGTTTTTAATGATGTGCATTCACAGTATTTTTTATATATTTTCTGAACCATCTAGATTGCGTATTCCCCGGAGTTTCCCTATCATAAATTTTGATTGTCCAGCAAGAAACAACATTAACTGGTTGTTGAACTTAGAGGACCGGAATATGTATCCTCAGAAAAGCTTTATATGCAGATCTGCTGCTGCTGATATGAGAGTTTGGGATCAGAATACTTCCTCTTCTATCATTAACTGGAAATTACCAACAGCTATGCACCAGTAGGTGGTGGTGAGTTTGTCAACTTACGAGGCACTTTGGCAGGAAACCAGCCACTGTGCAACTAAAGGGGGCCATCTCCACAGTTATGTTTCCTCTAATCTGAACCATTGTGGGAAAAGTTTGCTGGTTTAGGAAATATTTCATCCCACCAGGTTAGAGATTTTTAAAATTTAGATTTCCATTCCATGACGTTTAAGCCAAGCAAGATAAATTGCACTCCCACTTTCTCTAGTGTTCATTCCAGTTAAGAGCTAGATGAAATTGAGAATCATTGCAGGCTGTGCTTTTCTGTCATTTTCTTATACTGTGCTTTCCAAGCATGGGGGGACTCCTGGCTTCTAGGTGCCAATATTCCTTACCTTAAAGAGTCTTGTGTGTTCTGTTGCAATTATTTCCTGCAGTTAGTTTGTATCTCAAACAAACCACACACTCTCTTTCTCTCTCTCTCAAGCAAAGCGAGGCATCATGGCGAGGAGATTTGATACCACCACATGCCGAACAATCTAACCAAAGAAGAAAATGTGCTGTCAACATGCTTGTTATTAGCTTATTGCTTGCCAATGGGCAAATGGGTTGCGGATAGTCTGTCCTCCCTAATCTCAGAAATCCTCTCCTGTCACTGCAACTCGCAGTACCAATACAGTCGTGTAGTACACAGGGAGTACTAATTCATTTTGAATCACCGTGAGGCATATGAAAACACCTCAGCACTAGTCGGAGGAGGCAGGTTAAAAGTGGCAGTACTGGTCCAGTCCGCTGTGTGAGGAAGCCGCCTGTGTGTCCCCGATAAGAGGGAGTGAGTGGTGAGGACACGTCAGCCTACTTCAGGTGTCAGCACTTCAAACCAGAAGCAGGGCTTCAGAGGGAATGTGTAAAACTCCATATTGCAGAGGTGAAGTGGAGGATATTCTGAGTTTGTAGTATTTGATGTGTGGTGTCAACTTGTTCTTAACCTAAAAAAAAAAAAGAGGAATGATTCCTTGGAGTGGTGACTCACTGGATTTGAAAACTGAAAGCTTTCTGCCACTGTTTCCCTCCTATAGAGATTGTGGTATATTATGGCCATTTAGAGCTTTGCCACTAGAGTTATTAGGCACGAGCACACATGTGATAGCGTATAATGCCAAGTCTGTTTGATTTAATGGGAAATTACTGAGCATCACTGAGAAGTGTACACCTATCAGTCCCAGGAATAAGCTGATGGATTGAGTGCTGACAGTGAAAATAAACAGTGACTGAGTCGTTTAACACAATATTAACAACCCCTTAAGTGAAATTCACTTGCACTTATTAACTGCTTATTAATAATTGGGGTGAAACTAGTTAGAATAATTCCCCGATCCCATATAATAATAATCTCAAATAAAAATAATAGATAAGAATCATTGTGCATGGGTCAGAAGGGACGACGTGAATTTGATTCATCCTGTGTGTTTGTCTGGGTTCAAATAAACAGTTGAATCATCCCAGTAATTATCATAAAGTGGGATTACTCAACAGAAAATCTTTCCATTTTGAAATGGATTCTCTGTAGGAATGATACGCACCCCAACAGAGACCACATAAAAAAAACTACAGCGTGGAAAAATAGCATATTGAACAAAATTTACCCGGGATTCATCATGGTCTGACCCAGCAGTAGGAGGATTTATTTTACACAGGACTCAACAGACATTTTATGCAGCAGGAAGAAGAAGCAAGCATTGAGAAAAGGATATAAAAATCAGCCATGCAACTGTACGTGATGTTTGATTCTTCTAAATAATGTAG